CTCAGAATAAAAGGTGTTGTGAAGAACTTGTTGCAAGAATTTTTAACTTGTTCTAGACTGATTTACTCACTGGTCTCTCAATTTCCGGCTGGTGCGTGACTCATGAGAAAATTTTGTAGTTGATGCACATGCGTGTGTATGTGTGTGGGTAAATGCATATGCATATAATAAAAGAGAAGTTTAAGAGTGCAATACAACACAAAGGAAAGAGAGTATATACACTTTCAATATAATATTATTTAGATAAGAATGTTTAATTTTTCTGGACTGGAAAACAAGAAAATATGGCCATTATCTTATCAAGGACCTTGCAACTTCTACCTGTTCCTTTTCAAAGTCAATCTGAGTTGCATGTTATGAATAACATGTTACAAATAGCAAATTAGAATATGTAATGAACTTTCATAGAATACATTTTTCTTTAGTAATGCTTAAAAACATTGTTGAGTTCCCATTCCCTGTATCTGTGTGATGCAATTCAGTGGGGGTTTCATTGTCTGTCCTGAAACTGGTAGAGATGAGCATGTAGCAATGTGAATCACCTCCTTAGAAGACTGGGTTTTTTAGTAATTTTTAAGATTAATACTTCAGGACTTAATCTTCCAAGAGATTCAGAACTCACACCTGCCAGTAGGATTGTGGTTTATATTTATTTTAGTTATTGGTTGCATACTGTCAGAGCAATTAGTTTTACTTCTTTTTACTTGCAGAGCAGCTTCAAACTAATAGAAATTAGGGCGTTCATTTTCTGGCTCACACAGTAAGATGGGATTGTCAGTGATTGTGTTCCACATCTGGAATGTTTGCATTAACCATGCCAGATGAGTTATGAGGGTTGGAATTTTTTTAATTGAAAATCCCAGTAAATTTGGATTCCAAATAGTCAAGTGTTTCTCATTGTGTGTCATTAATAGAAAAATTTTTTACCTAGGTTCTTTGAGAGGTTTGTCTTGCTATTTCTTGAATCACATTTCTTATTTTCTCTTTGTCATTTAGGAGATATCCCAATATATTGAAGGATTTTCTGTTTATTTGAGAAGATTTTTTTGTGTCAATATAAATTGTTTCAACTGCCTGGTAGATATTTTTGCCATTTATCACTTTTTTTTTTTTTTTTCCCTATGTTTT